AATCTGACTCATTGTGACTCAGGCTGACTGCACACATTCATCATCTCATACACACGAGGAAGGCATGGCAGCGCAAACATGGAAGGAAGCTGCCATGTGGACAATGCATACACAGACGAAGGAGGTGGAGGAGAGACTAAGTGGGGAGGAGGAGAAGGAGACGTAAACTCGAATAGCGCTGTGAATGAATGGTCTCCAAAAATAGTCCCCAATGTCTCTGTCCAAGTACAATGTCCGAGTATGGGCAACCGCCCAATATCACCAGGTCTCAACTCTCATAGATCTCTCCCCTCTGTCTCATAGACGAAGAAGAAGCATCGGAGGGAAGGAGGAGAAAAGAGAAGTTATGGAGATTGACGAGGGAGAGAAGAAGAAGAAGGAGAGTGGATCCAGATACTGACCAGCGTAAAGGTGTCGCCTCGGAGATGTGATACAGATGGAAGCGCCTGAAGACGAGCTGAAGCTATGGTGCCAGGTAAGTCTGACAGGTGAGTCCCACATCCCTGACCTCTGCCCTGAACCTCCTGAGTCCTAACCATCTACCTCTAGCCTACTCCCCTATCAGAACAGTGCTGCTCCAGTAGCATGGGACCTTGACCTCCAAATACTGCATGCCCTGTTTTCCCTCACACCTGGAAATTTCAGATTGAAAGCAGGGTGCAAGAAATTTGAAACTCTACCAAAGCATCTCCAATCTGCTTCAGATGCAGGGAGCGTGGTCACATGGGAACAAACCCCAACTGTCTGTAGTTTCCAACACAACAAAGAGAACAGAAACTCCACCCTAACATGCGGGTGGAAGTTGAGGATGCCCCAAGTACATGGTTTATTGTCCACCTCAACTATGACGGTTGGGTGTTTGACGATAACTTGGATGATCCGGACTGGGTTTGGCACTATACGGATAAGGAACCCTTGGTAAAAAAAAAACAGCATTTTCCCCCCAGCAGACAGCAGATGGCAGAAAAAGGCAACGGGCAAAGTAACCGAGAATCCAACAAAGATCAATACTAATCCGCTGATTGACTCCCGGGTGGTTAGAGAAGAAAAAGCAAGGGAAGACCTGCTGTGGGACCTGGACTCAGTCTGGGAGCAGACAGAACTAGAATACTGCAAAGAACCTACAACACTTCAAGAAATGCTAAGACTCATGGAGCCAGAGGCTTCTCATAAATCGGCCACGACACAAACGGATAACAAACGTACGTTTGACTGCGGAGACTCCAAGGGGAAGACTGACATGGGTCCCAAGAGAAGGAAAGGAACATAATCAGAAGACACATTGGTAGCGGATCAGCCACCAGCAAAGGGACAAAAGGGAAACACAGATTCTGATTCGTCCAGTGACGGAACTAACAGCAAGGACAGCAAGGATAGCAATGGCAGCAAGGACAACTAGGGGTCTGAGAAGCCCACCACGGCGGGCGGGTCTGACTCCCAAAGGTCACTTCACTGGCTAAGGGAATACATTGAAAAGATTAAGAGGGCGAGAGAGCATGCCTTCGACATCAGAACGGCATGCCTCAAGCACATTGAAAGATCAGATGGAAAGGTGGCAGTTGTTCGCATTCAAACAAAAAAAGAAAACAATATGAATTGTTGAAAAAGGTGGAGGAATTCTGAATACACAACTTTCAGGTATGCAGAAAAAAAGAGGGCAAGAGAAGAAGGGTTGACAGACAAAGACAAGACAGTTCTCAACACCGATGAATCATTCCAGGATCTGCATCCAAAGAAGTGGAAGACAACAAAAAAACAAAAGAAGAAGGAACCTAACACAGAATAAACAGAGGTTGAAGAAGAATCTGCACGATCGCAATTGGAAAAGGAAGTGGCGGTAGTAGTGGCCCGAACTGAAAAACTCAGGAAACTGAATGCAGCATACACACTTGAGTTCACCACTTTTCAGCACATAGCTGAAGGTAGGCACCTCATGCAGTGGCTTCTGCCAAATCAGCACGATTGACCCTCCTGAACACTCGTCTGCTGATTGCGGCCCGATACATGGAAAAGGAGAAGGAATGGAAGATTGCTATGGACGTGCCCTTCACAATCCCACAGATAGATGAAGGACAAAATGTGGCTAACATTCTCTGGGAAGAAGTCACTGAGGGGTTCCTTCTGGCAGTTTTTGAGACAGCAGATCCATATGCCTACCCGGATGTCAGCTCATCCCAACCGGACCAACGGGAGCAGCAAGACCACCAGATGGAATAGGAGAGGCATGCGCCTTGCGCTTTCTCTCCTCTGATTGAGAAAATGCCAGAAAAGACAAAATTGACGAGCGGAATGATGTGGAGACCTTGGAGGACTGTGCCAGGGATTGCATACAGTGTGCTGGCGGGGCCTGGAATTCCTACGGAATAAAAAGCGACCTCGGTGGCAGACGTCTTGAGATCTGGCATTCTGAATGAGGATAGCGACTCGGAGTCGTGGGCCTTCGTTGTAGATCTGGATAGATACTACAGAGATGGGTCTGCGGAGGACATGCACGAGTGGTATGAAGAGCAAGATGTCCTGAGGTCGAACCGGCCCTTAGGACACAAAGGCAGTGGTACCGAGGGGGAATATAAGTTAGATGACTAATTAGCCAAGGCACAGCAGGACCCGCCGGGGGAAACTTCAACAGCAATTGATGCAAGCGACCAGACCACTACCTAGGGTGATATTTACCATGTCCCAAGCCACATCTCCCTCCCATTCCCTCTACGATGGAGGTCTTTAGATTCTGGGCAAATGCAAAGGAAGGCAACGTAGATTAGAAGACACAAGGAACAAATCATCGAAAGTTGGGATATCAACGGTTTGGGAACATTATGGATAACGAAGAGAAAATGAACGACATCATCAGAGGAATCACGGACTACACAAACAAACCTGCAGACATCATAACGCTGCAAGAGACCATGGTAACCGACCGGACGTCCGGACCCGGTTCCAGACAGTCCGGAGCCAACTGTCCGGGTCCGGTGTCCGGTACCGAACGTCCGGAATGAGGGGCCCAGCCAAAAATTAAAAAAAAAAGGGGGCAGCCCAGGACACTTACCGGGTCCTAGGCGCCCCCTGAAAAATATGGGCCTCAATTTTCAGGCACGAATCGGCCTACCGGACGCTACCGGACACAAGTGAGTGAGGGTGGGTATTGAGTTGGGTGGTTGGTGGGGTGATTTCGAATTTGTCGATTTCGAATCCCCCGCCCGTCCTTGCTGCCAGTTCCCTCCTGTTCCCCACCCGTGGTTGCTGCCTGCTCCCTCGTGTGTCCTCGCAGGAACTGCCGACGTCGTCGCCGAGGCCATCACCAACCAGTACCCGGAGAAGCCATCGCCAAGCAGCCACCTGCTAGGAGTCCCAGCCAGCTGTGCCCGGTCGACGACGACTCCAGCTCGCAAACAGGTCGGTCTCTCTCTCTCTCTCTCTCTCTCTCTCTCTCTCTCTCTCTCTCTCTCTCTCTCTCTCTCTCTCTCTCTCTCTCGCGCGCGCGCGTCGCATTCGATGTTGTTGCCGTTCGATGTTGGG